ATATGAAAGTTTCACTCTGATTTGGCTATTGAAGAACATGATGATAGTTCTTGTGTTAGCTGATACAAAATGTAGGATGCCAACTCTACATCCAGGTGTTTTTGCTGAGACACCTCCTCTCAAAAGACTGCCATCCAAGGCTAAAGATTTATTTTCAAGCCATTATTATTATCCCATGCCAAACAACTTGAAATTTGAATTTCCGTGGACTGCCTTAGAGACTCCAGTTCTGGATTTACTCTCAGCTCAGGGTTTACTCCCGAAGCCTTTCTCATGATTGGGTATGGCTGCAAGGCAGCAGAGGTTTAAAATCAATTTTCCTTCTCTTAATACAATGGGGAACTGAGACTAATCTCACTTAAATCTCAAGCAAAAAATGATTACAGTTTGGACACTACCACTGAGCAGACAGGGAAATTGTCTCATCCTTACTCCTATGGCATCCTTTGGGAAGTCTCTTCTCACAAAAATTGACCTTCCAGACACTATAGCTTGGGACTCAGGGTTGGATATTGAGGATCTGGGGACAGCAATGCAGGACTTAATTGTGTGGAAATCAATTGTCAATGGAGTTCCGACCAAACATAGGGATGTTGAATGATGATGAACATGATTCAAGTTTTTAGGTAAATGTTTTGTAGCAATCTGCAGTATAGCACTATTTACCAGTTGCAATCTTCCCTGAATTATTATGTTTGACATTTGCTGCAACAAAATTTAATATTATAAAGATAAACTGAAATCAGAAACTATGACAGATAAACTTATCTGGTTTGTGTTTCATCTCGTAGATGAAACACAAACCTAGCCCAAATTTAGACACTTCTTCATAGCAAATTGCTAGTGAACTGACTTCTTGCCAATTAATATGTATTAGGTTGCAAGGAAATTCCTATCTTTTACATGAACATAATCACTTTGAGGTTGCTACTGCTTCTATGTGCTGTGTCCTTTCAGGACATGGGCAATCATGGCTCTCCACAACTTCTTATCCTTTGTAGTTCTTAGTAAGTTTTGTCATTTCACTATCCCTCCCAGTTCAAGGATGTGTGAGGATGGCAGGTTGTTTGAACTGTTGGATAAAAGCATTGGTTGAAGTAATCCAAAAGTGATTTGACCCAAAAACTTGTGAGTTCAATACCTGGTCACAGCAGAGGTAAAAAAAAAAAAATTTGGAGAGTTGCGTTACTAAAGGGAATTAGCTGAAAACTGAGATATCCAGAAATGGCAAGGCATGTGGAACTAGAACAATTTACCTCGGACTAAATAAAGGGTTTGGTTTGAAATTCCAATGAATATTACCTGAATAAGGCCAGAGCATATAATGACTGAAACGTGAATATGACAATAAAGATGAGGACAAATGTCTGAACGATGTAAATAGTGTAAATGATTAGAAATGGCTTCGCGCAAATGTAACGTGTAGATTTTAGCGTGGACAATTTTCATTAAACTTTGTGGAGTGGCATGACAGAATCACAAACAATTGTACCAAATAACAGAAGACATTTCACTTGAGAACCTTCAACAACTGAAATGGATAGCAGATGTAACCCAAAGAGAAAACAATTACATAATCACCATGTTGATATTCCACACTATTACAAACAAAAACTTAGGAAGGAAGCTCCCATCAATACTGAAAAAAGCAATAACAGTGACTGAACTCATTTGTCTGTATTTCTGAGATGAGGTATTGTAACAATTTACACTATTTACATAGTGTACATTTTCAAGTAATCCAAAAGAGTTGTGAGTTCAATACCTGGTCACAGCAGAGGTAAACAAATCAAAAATTGGAGAGCTGAATTACTAAAGTGAATTAACTGAAAACTGAGATATGCAGTAAAGGCATGGCATGTGGAACTAGAACAATCTACACCTTTGGACAAAATAAAGTGTTTGGTTTGAAATTCCTTAAGGTCAATTTTCTTTTCAACTCCTCTGCTGCTGCAGCCTATTTGTCAACCTTGGCTTTTACTTATTTCTTTTCTTGTATTGCCTACTTTTGCAACTGCAGTCCTTTTACTATACCCCAGTGTTATTAGTGCAAGTATTTCTACCTCACTGTATGGATCGTTATAACAAATTTAGTATATGGGATAAGGACATTTAATATACGATGGGCTGTGCACACAAAACCAAAACATTAACCTAAAAACTCGAATCATATTCTTAAATAGCCTCGTCATATAGTGACTGACATATGGATGTCATACAGGGTGCCTATTTCATTCAGAGATATCTAAACAGTCAGTTTTATACAACCACGTTATCAGATCAATCATTAAAATGGCTTTGTGTGAATGTAGAATATAGCGTGGACAATTTTCATCAAACTTTATGGACTGGCATGAGAGAATCATAAACAATTGTACCAAATAACAGAAGCCATATCACTTGAGGACCGTCAACAACAGCAACAACTGAAATGGATAGCAAATGTAACCCAAAGAGAAAACAATGACACCATGTTGATATTCCACACTATTTCAAACAAAAACTTTAGGAAGGAAGCTTCTATAAATACTGAAAAGAGCAATAACAGTTAATAGATTTGCAAAAACTATTTTCCTGTAAAACTGTTTCAATAGAAAGATTATAAATTTCAACTGAAAGTAACATTCACTGCTTGGTCAATGAATGCCAAATGTTTCTTTATAAGGAAATGATTAATATTACTATCGACATCACTTAGTCTGTAACTTGCAGATTAAATTATCTATAACTGAAGAGTAATCATTATATAATATTTGTGAGGTTGAATCAGAAAAAAACAAATAACAAATACATGTTTATGAAGCTTGTTTTAGTATGATACAAGGCTGCAATAGTTTTTTTTTTCACTAAATTTACCTTTTATTGGTCTGCAAGATCATTTTGGTCAACCAAGTCCACAGGCCCCATGTTAACCCCCTTACCATCATGAAGAGGCTGGAATTGTACAGGAACATTACTGAATCAGTCAAATTTGCAAAGACAATCAAGGGGAGTAAGAAGAGGAAGATAAAGGATACGGGTGGACAATGTAACAGTGGACAGATCTGATATTATGAAATCTGAAATATGCCCAGAATGTAAGGAGCTCTTGCTTGCTTTTCAAAGGGGAGATAAATCGAGGGTGGTTAGGAAAAAAAAAAAATTGGATCAACTGTGAACAAAAAAAATATTTGATGTTTTTTAATCAGTCATTTGCAGTAATTCATCTTTTTCTATATTTTTTTTCTATTTTTACTGTAATGAGTTTGAAGAATAAAGACATTCACAAGAGATATGACAGAAACGTCCAAGAGAATTCAAGTGTGTATGCTCACGAGCATAACACTCCCAAAATGAGTAAGTAATCTTTATTTTGTCAGAATTTTTGAGATGTGGAGTTATCATTATTTACATTCAGACTAATGTCTTTCATCTTATTGCTGTCACCACAATGTTTCAGCTGTTATGACCTCTGGCCTTCTTCAGGTGTCTGTTGAAATAGGACAAGCAATAACTGAGCAATACTAAAAAGAAAAAGACGATATATCCCTAGATATGGACAGTGGAACAAGAACAATCTATCTCAGTAGATTAAATAAAGGGTTGTTCAGTTTGAAATTCTCTGAAGATTAACCTGACACCTGAAGAAGGCCGGAGGGCATAACAACCGAAATGTGATATTAGCAACAAAGATTCAGATATTAATCCAATAATCTCTCTTTTTTCTTTTTTTTTTTTTTTTTAACTTCTTTTTACATTAATATGTTGTGCTAATCTTTTTGTCTTTGAGGCTAATTGTTCACCCGCTGTCACTCATGTGCACTGCAACTCCAAAGAAGAGGCTTTTCCTTCCTTGTGAATAGTGGTGACTTTATAGTCAGCCAATGGCATGCCCTCTAGGGACTTTAATTGTTCAAGTTTCAAGGGTTATCACTCAACACTGTGTACTGTTAAATATTACCCACCACTAATTCTGTCTTATAGCCAAATCATATTGAAACACTAGTTTCCGTATGATCGCTGAAGTTAAGCAATATCGAGCATGGTCAGTATCTGGATGCATGATTGCTTGGGAATACCAAGTTTGGATGTGTGGGTTGTGTAATGGATAATGAGTCGGATTTGGATTCGTTATATTCACTTACATGCAAAATACTCTTGAGAAAGGTATGAATATATCTCTTCTCCACCCAGCTATGGGTTATTTAGTATGATGTGTATCACTAAAACCATTATTATCTAAAGAAAATTTGCATACAAATTATTTAGATTTCAGCTTTAAATAACCTATAGTGGTTGATATGGTGCTAGATAAAAAAAAAACAACCTAACATCCATGAAAAAGTTATGAATCCACCTCTTTCCCCCCAAGCTATGGGTTAATTAGTAAGATTTGTATCACTGAACCATTATTATCTCCCAAAATATATTCCTACAATCTAAAAGTATTTTCTCACTTTAAATAACCTGCAAAGGGTTGATAAGCCCTCGGAAAATGAATCAATCGAAGTGGCAGAATGCTAACAATGTTCTTCACACTGCACAGACTAGTTCAGCCTTTTCAAACCATTCAACGATAGTGTGACCCCAGCCTGAACCATCAAATTCAGGGATTAGCTTGAGACAGAACTTGCTGTCAGCCATGAGTGCCGAAATAGCTTGTAAGCAAAGAGTATATTGAGATTGGTGGGGAGACACCTAACCAATTGCTCACCCAAAAACTATGGGGGTAATAGGCAGAGAAGGGAAAGCAATGAGAAGCAACAAAAATGACACAGCCTCGGAAAACACAGCAACTTAAAGAACAAAATGGCCACAGGACCAATTTCACAAGGCACCAAGTCTTTCCAAATGCTGACTGTTAGTTTTCCTCCTATGTTTATTGGCATGAGGCATCCAAAGACCCAGATCTTGACTAGTTGCAGAGAGGGCCATATCTAGAAATGCCAAACTGCCCCACTACTAATAAGGAAAACCAGGATGTAACTGGTGCTGACAAACATGTCTGCATGCAATCCGAGGCCTGTTTTGTGTCTGTACTGATACATATTTGCCACATTTTCTGTTTTTTTTCTTTCTTTGTCTTTTTTTTCTTTCTTTGTCTCTCTCTCTTTCTCTATCTTTTTCTCTCTTTTTTCTTTCTTTTTCTCTCTTTTTTCTTTCTTTTTCTCTCTTTTTTCTTTCTTTCTCTCTCTTTTTTCTTTCTTTCTCTCTTTTTCTCTTTCTCCTCTCTTTTTCTCTCTTCTTCTCTCTCTTTTTTTTCTCTCTCTTTCTCTCTCTCTCTCTCTCTCTTTCTCTCTCTCTTTCTTTCTCTCTCTCTCTTTCCTTCTTTCTCTCTTTCTCTTTTCTTTCTTTCTCTTTCTCTTTTTCTTTCCTTCTTTCTCTTTTCCTTCTTTCTCTCTTTTCTTTCTTTCTCTCTTTCCTTCTTTCTTTTTTCCTTCTTTCTCTCTTTCTTTCTTTCTCTCTTTTCTTTCTTTCTCTCTTTTCTTTCTTTCTCTCTTTTCTTTCTTTCTCTCTTTTCTTTCTCTTCTTTCTTTCTCTCTCTCTTTCTTTCTCTTCTTTCTTTCTCTCTCTCTCTCTTTCTCTCTCTCTCTCTTTTTCTCTCTTTTTCTTTCTCTTTCTCTTTTTCTTTCTCTTTCTCTTTTTCTTTCTCTTTTCTCTTTTTCTTTCTCTTTTCTCTTTTTCTTTCTCTTTTCTCTTATTCTTTCTCTTTCTCTTTTCTCTCTTTTTGCCCTATCACAAAGACTATATGGTAAACATTCCCTTTAAAATAATTAAAAACAAATCCAATACATATCAAGTAGCATCTGGCCTGCATGGTGGATGAAATAGTCTCTTCTTTTTGGCCTATGCCAATATTCAAGACTGGTTAAAGGTCAGGATGCTGATTTTTATTAAAAGCAAACAAGTAAACAGATTGCCCTCTCACATTCAAAGTCTGTTGTTTTCATTGCTCTATATCACTTCCATCTGATCTTTATCCAAACATACAAATACTCTATCAGCTTAAAAAAAGTCAAAATATTTTATTTGAAAAGACAAATCAATTTTTTTTTATTTCTTAATTCTAAGAAATCTTCAGCAACTAATTTTATTGGTACCTACTCCCAAGTACCAAATACAATTACTGGCACTATTAAATGGTTTTCTTCAACTTCTCACCACAGGTTCAGTGATAATTTGGTACAGTTTATTATTTTTCAAATAATTTTTGGGATTGATTATTTCTTTTGAGACTTATATAAAAATTCCTGGTAAAATGTTTATTTAATTTGGCATGCTTATTTTAGAACTTGAAAAATTCTCACCAGTATGACTGTTGCAAATGGCACCTATAATTGGTACAACAAAAGTACGTGTTCTATTATGATGGTATCATATTTGCTACAACAAAAGTACATGTACCCTTCTGATGGTATCATATTTGCTACAACAAAAGTACATGTACCCTTCTGATGCTATTTGGTACAAAAAATGTACGTGTGCCCTTTTGTTGGTATCGTATTTGGTACAACAAGTGTACATGTACCCTTCTTAAGCTATTCGGTACAAAAGAAGTACATGTACCCTTAAGATGTTATTGTATTTTGTACAACAAAAGTACATGTGCCCTTCTGATGGTATTTGGTACAAAGAAGTACATGTACCCCTATGATGGTATCATATTTGCTGCAAAAAAGTACATGTACCCTTCTGATGGTATCGTATTTGGTACAAAAAATGTACATGTTCTTTACTGAGGGAATCGTATTTGGTTTAAGATGCAATATTCTTCAATGGAAATTAAAGACAAGTTATTAACAAAAGGTTCAAAAGTGAAGAATCCATATTGCTAAAAAGTAATGAGCCCTGAAGTTATTCCTCAAAAATCTGATATTGAGAATAAAAATAATTACACCACCATTGCCGTGATATGGTGCATAGTATAATGTAAGAATATTACATTATTTATGGGTATATTTGATATCTTTGTATCATAACTGTAATGTTTATTCCAAACCAAAAGACTAATGCAGTTATTATTATTATTATTTGTCTTTGCTTTGTTTAATATGATTTGCTCTTGAGTTTCAACCAGAAATTTCCGGAGGCAAATTCTTTTGTATCAGCAGATGCAAATAGATGAGGTGCCATGCAATCAGAAAAAAAAAATGTGTTTCCTGCATGAAGGGAAATCTGTGTAAAGTATGAGAAATATCCAGGAATTTGATCCACATATTTGTTTGTTCCATTTGATGTTATTCCCAAAGCTCCAGTAAAAAGTGATAATTTTGTTGTCTTCAGATGCCACGTTCTACTGATTTCTATCTTGAGGGCCTTGCGTTTTTTTTTAGTTTCTCAAATGTTTTCAAAGATATACTTTTGTCAGCTGGGCCAGAAGACATGTCTTTTCAACATGATTTATCATTATTGTTATTATCATTATTATTAGAGAGAGAGGCATGCCAACCAAGTGACGCTAGGGTACAAATATACAAAGATGCCTATCATGACTGATAAGGGTAGACCTATAGCAAGCATATGCAGTGCATAACCTTGCAAGTGGGGCCCAGTAAGAAATACATTCAGGTCAGGCATCCTCAGTCTGCTCAGACGATTGAGGGTGTTCCCAAGTATCAAGTCATGACTCTCAAATCGCCTTGAGAGCCTCATCCTTCAAACACACATACACACAAAAAAAAACAATCTTCTAGACAACCAGCTATGATTCTCTCACACTACTCCTACTCATGAACAGAGATGCACAGTAGGGCAGGTCAATTTTGGAACCATGGTATTGGACTCAATTTGAAAGTTCAAGTTTGGCCTGATAAATAATGACACAAAATAGTCTTATTCCCAAATCATTACTGTTTTTTGGAGGAAATGATTTTAAAGATTGTCTTGGTTCAAAATTCAGAGCATTGGAATTTAATTCCGGTGATCAGTGAAAGCTTTATAGCAGAGCCTTATAATATTTATAATTCAAATATATGCAGTTAATTGGTTTGAAATTAAAATGGATAATACATTCCATAATCAACAACTGTATATATCCAAAATGATCCAAAGAATAAAGCAACAGTTGAGTGAAATACAAAATGTAGTGGTAGATATTTACAGTAAAATGCTTTCAACTCTTCAGATGAATTGGAAGTGAGGGAAGAGGCTATAAAAAATTTGTCTATTAGATAAATAAATATTTATTCATACTTAATTAGTCATGTCAATTTACAAGACTAATTATCTTTTTTGTAATCTTTTACAATTCTTACAGTTTTCACTTTTGAATACAGTAAATAAATTGCATATTTTGCTTATGGCGATTCATAATTAGAATTCTGGTTCAAATATATCTTCAATTCAATGTATCTAAAACAAAAAATATCAACTGTGTATGGATATAGTAAATTTTGAAGCAAAAGCCTCTGGAAATTAAGTATTTCTGTACATTTTTTTTCAGAGGATATTTAAAACTAAATTCTCAAAAATTGGTAAAAGCTATCAATCTAATTTTTGGTTTTAATACTTATCACATCAAACCCCAGCTTTTACACTGAGTGCAATGTTGATTTTTCTATAGAAAAAAAAAAAAAATGAAAAATCAACCTGCCCTAATCCACTGAACATCAGCCCCTAGGAAACTGGTTATGGTTTAAGCAGCTGATATGCAAATCTGTGATACTGAATGGATTATTTACTGTAGCCCATCTTAATTCATCAAGACAAAACATGTACATGTTAACGCCTCCTTTAGTTAAGATCAGAAGCCCTGAGAAAGATACTTCCTCCTCTTCCTTCATCATAATAATAATAATTATTATTGTTATTATTATTAATAATAATAATAATAATTATTATTATTATTATTAATAATAATAATAATAATTATTATTGTTATTATTATTAATAATAATAATAATAATTATTATTGTTATTATTATTAATAATAATAATAATAATAATTGTTATTATTATTAGCTTACACTAGAAATCAAGTATGCTCCTTTGAATGTCCAGTTTTTCTGACCTATTTTCTAGACTCTTTTTGAACTATTCCAAGCGCTCCAGAAATGATGGGAACAAATGTTAATTTTATATTCCATGACTTTTCAGTTCATTTTTCCTTTCTTTTGAATTTTATTCTGTGTCCACAAGATGATTTTATTTTTCTTGTTTCTTATTTCTCATTTCTTGTACTCAAGGAATCAATCTTCTTTTCTAACTTGAATTTGGTGATTTTTTTTGATTTTTTTTTTTTTTTTTTTTTTTTTAGCCTTGGAATTTGAGAGAATTATGGATGGTTATTCATCGGCTTGAGCATGGAACCTATTTTTTTTTTCTAACTCTGATTTCAATTTTAAAATTTTCATTTTTCTTTTTCAATTGCATAATCTTTGGAATTTTTTTGTTTTTTTATTTTTTTTTATTCACAAATCACTTTTTATAATCGCCCCAGATATGGTTGTCAAATACTTTTTAGCATAGAGAAGTCAATCTGTTTGAAAAATATATATTTGCTTGAATTAACAAATTTAAGGCTCTAAATTTAATGTGCTTATTTCAGTTGCTTCAGATTGGATAAATCTTGTTAATTTGATTAAGTCGTTCAGGTTTTAGTTACTAATAATTGACTCATTGTTCATGTTGACGAGTGGTTCATTTACGTGACTTTGATGAGACAGAATTCTTGAGTGTTTTAACCATCTGAAATGAATAAAAAATAACCCTTAGAAAATGTTCCCTGTTACCCTGTTCCCGACCGTTTTGGCAATGTGGGCACAGTGTTAAATTTGACACTTGTAAATAAAAAAAGTAATTTTTAAAAAAATCAGTAATCGATTTGATACTGTGTTTATGTTACGAACAGGACCCCCACTTCTACAATTATATAAAAAACATCTATTTTACCATGCTGATAAATGTCATGGCTACAGGAAGGTCTAATGAAGGCTAATCAAGAAAAATTAGTCAAAAAACAATTTTTCCCTATTCTTTTATGAGCAAACCTTTTTTTTCTCTTCTTATTTGTGCCGTGTCCCTTCAAGACATAGGCGATCATGGCCCTCCACAATTTCCTGTCCTTTATAATTCTTAATGAATTTTGTCTTTTTGTTAATTCTTCTGTACATTGTTCTTCCATCCATTTACTCAAGCTCACTAAGTATGTCATATATTGTTTTTCTCTGTCCCTCTTGCCTTCAACCTATCCTGTGAGTATCAGATTTTCCAAGCTCTCTTTCCTCATTATGTGCCCTAGAAATTTCAACTATTTCTTCCTGATGTTAAGTATAAGTGTCCTTTTCGTTTCCATTTTCTCTAAAACTTCATCATTACTCGCATGTTCAGTCCATGGTATCCTAAGCATTTTTCTGTAGAACCACATTTCTGTAGTTTCAAGTCTCTTCTTTATCTTTGAGGAGATTGTCCAGCATTCACTACCATGTAGGAGAATGTGGTGCCTAATAATGAACTGGATTGTAAATCAAGATAATTCAGAGATACACTATTTATATTATTTAGACTATTGTCCTCATCTTTGTCGCCATATCTATTACAACGTTTTGACCGTTGTATGCTCCAGCCTTCTTCAGGTGGTTGGCGACAAAGATGAGGACAATAGTCTGAATAATGTAAATAGTGTACATAGTACCTCATCTCTGAAATATCTGACAAATTCAGAGATAATTTGGAGTTAGTGATTGTCTTGGAACATACATTTGTTTTTAATCATTTCATCCCATGAAATGATTAAAAAAAGAGTGTGAAAGAATAAGAAAAAGATAAACATCATTAAGGAGCAAGAAGAATAAAAGAGGAATCAAAAAGACTGTAGATAATGTTTGACATTACATTAAAATTCTTGAAGCTCAAAGTTGGGGGGGCAAGCATGGAGCCAGAAGAGAATTCAACAAGCAAGAAGTGCGAGAGAAGAAACTGTTAGCATAAAACTTACATTTAGCCAATTCAACCGTAAATTGATGAGACCTTGTTACAAATCTAGTACAGTGTTAAAATTCATAAATTCTGGGTACCATAGGGAGGTATGGTGGAGTAATGGATAGCAGCTTGGATTGAGGAATCGGAGAGCCAAGTTCAAATTCCTGTTGAATCCATTACATTCACTTACATGCTAATACCCATGGGAAAGGTATGAATCCTTTTCTTCTTCCCCCCAGCTATGGGTAAATAGTAGGACAGACTGGGTTCTATAGCATTGGATGGCAACTGGCTCGCCGCAGAAAGAAATGGCAGCCTACTGCAGGAAAAATCTGCCTCGCCAGTCATGTATCGAAAGATACATGATCACCTCAGCATGTATCATACATGGCACATAACTGACTGAGGTACCATGGCGAAGAATTCATCTGAACAGTTACCATGAAAGTATTTGTAGAAAAGGCAGAGAGCAGTGGGAAAATGACTGAACCCAAGATGCCAGGTCAGAACCAATAATATTGCTGGTACTTCTTTGGAATTTATCAAGAATCTCTAAATATATAACAGGAGCACTGGACCATATGAGACAGCAATATTCAAAGCATGAATGAATGGTAGACTAATAAATATATAAATTAGGTTATAGAGAGAAAAATTATCTAGCATGTCTCAGTGAACCGACTTTCTTATCATCCGACCTAGCAATTGATTCGATATAATCTTTCCACTTCATGTCAGCTGAGAATGTTAGCCCAAGAAGGCACAATGAGTCACTCTCTTGAAGTTTAGCATCAGCCATGCTTATGGATGGCAGATGAAGACAAAAATATCTTGATTCTAAGTGGTTAAAATGGAGCATAACAATATGACACTTATCTGTGAAATAAATTAATGAAACTAATCCTGAAATACATACAGAAATATAAGCTACCATATCTACTCATGTATTACAGATTTCATGTATAGTGTGACACCTGAGTTTTTTTCATGAATATTAACCCCTCCACAAAAAAATTTACCTATGTATAGTGCAACCAGTCACTAAAAATGCATGATTTTTAACCTCTTCAAAAAATTACCTGTGTATAGTGTGACTCCCTATTTTTAGCATAACTTATAAAACTCACACTATACTCCAGTATATATGGTAATACAAAATGGTTAAAAAAAAATGTCATAAATTTGATGTCTGGTGTCAGATGACTTTGAATATCACTTGCAATAATAGTACTTATTTGGTAATACTTGCTTAAAAAGTAGCCACCGTATAGTGAACTGAATAGAGAAATAGTATAGTGAATAGAGTAGAGAACAGCGGTCCGTATAGTAATAGAGGATAAAAGAGAAATGGAGATCCAAATAGTAATAAAGGATAGGATAGAAATAACGATCAATCTAGACATCATGCAACTTCCTATATATGCGTTTCCTCTATGGTCACTGGCAATCTATGTTCAAACTTGATTTTTTATTCCTATATAACATAACATTTTCAAAATATTAAGCAAATAATTTTCATGCATATTAATCAAGCACTGGTTACCAGTTATTCTTCTTATTCTATGTGCTGTGTCCCTTCAATCATGGCTCTCCACAATTTCCTGTCTTTTATAGTTCTTAGTAGATTTTGTCATTTTGTTTATCTCATCCAAAACCCTGTTCTGCCATCCATTTACACAAGCTCATTCCTCTGTTCATCTTGCCTTCAATGTCTTGTGAGTGTTAAATTTTCCAAGTTCTCTTTCCTTATATGCCCTATAATTTTCAACTGACAAATATAAGTGTCCTTTTTGTTTCCATTTGCTTTAAAACGTTGTCACTGTTCATGTACATATCAACACCTCCATTCAGTTAAGATCAAAAACCCTGGGGAATATGTCTCCTCTTCCTTCTTAATAATAATAAAATAATAGGAAAAGTCAACTAACCAATACTTCTGGCTTTTCTATTGCAGAGCATATAATAAATAGCAGGAATTGTGTTTTTGATTTTAGTGGTGACTGTTTTTCGATTTTATCTAGGTCCCACTCCTCATATCCCCTCAAGAGTCCTTGTATATCAGATCCTGTGGGCCTTCCCTCTGTAAACAGAGGGAATGCTTACTGGGTCTGAATGTTATTGGACTCTAGCTTTCTTGAAATTCATTTTTTTCCCCTCCATTCGTTAATCATTAATATTAATTAAATTTACACGCTTTTTATACCCCAGAAATAAATTTGATAAGGCTGGGATGAAACCAGTTGTTTTTTAGCTTTTTAAAATGCCATATAAATTTTGCTTTTTCCTAGCTATCATTAAATTTTGTACCATAAAAAACTTATTTAAATAAAATAATAATAATAATAGTTATTATTAGCATGCTTCTGTAGAATCACATTCCTGTTGTTTCAAGTCTCTTCTTCATTTCTGTTGCTTCAAGTCTCTTCTTCATTCCTGTTGCTTCAAGTCTCAAGTAGGAAGTTTATGAAAGTCATTTGTCTCGCAGTGGATAAGCAAGGACAGCTGTTGCAAATAAAATATATTATCAATTTCATGTTTAGAAATGCATGGTTGTCAGCAAAAGGAAATGCTTAACATTCAAATTACTAATTAGAGATGCTGAAATCAAGCAAGTATAACACCTTAAATATCTGGTAAGTGTTTTAACAGCAGACGGAAAGTGCAACACTGAAACCCAAAGGAGCATTGGGATAGCAAAAGATGACTTCCAATAGCTAAGCAAAGTATTAAGAAATAGGATAATTTCATTAAAAACAAAGAAAAGAGCACCAAACTTCTACGTAATATCAGTCCTATATAGCAGGGGTTGGCAACCTAGAACACGTGTGCCACACCAAGCAATTTCCAATGGCATGCAGTCACAAATAACATCATAAAGTCCAAACCAATAACTACTACTCCTTGCTTATCCACTGCGGGACAAATGACTTTCATAAACTTCCTACTTCATCCTTTCTCATTCATATCAAATACCTCCTTCATCATAACCATTTTAACATTAACCCTCTACCTTCAATGGCTCTGGAGTGGTCTCTTAGGGCAAAGATTAGTATTAAAAATAATTTTTACCAATAAAAAATATTTTACCTATTCATATCTCTCACCAGTTCAGTTTGCATCCCTCTTTTTTTGTTCACATGATCTGATTGTATCACTCATTCTTTTGTTAATATATACTGTTCATATCTCTCTCTCTAATATGTTCAGTTCATATCACTTTATTTGAGATGTTCCATTGATATATTTCTCTGACATGTTCTGTTCATCTCTCTCTCTAATATCTTCATATATATATATATATATATATAAATATATATATATATATATATATATAATATAATATATATATATATATATATATTATATATAATATATATATATATAAATATATATATATATTATATATAATATATATATATATATATATATATAATATATATATATATATATATATATATATATATATATATATATATATAAATATATAATATATATTATATATATATATATATATATTATATACTTTTCTCTTTCTCTCTAATAGGTTCTGTTCATATCTCTCTCTCTAATATTCTATCCATCTCTCTCTCTCTCTCTCTCTCTCTCTCTCTAATATCTTCATGTATATATATATATATATATATATTTTCTAATATCTTCATATAGTTCTCTCTAATATCTTTATATATATATTTTCACATATCTCTTTCTCTCTCTAATATGTTCACATATCCCTCTCTCTCCCTCTTTAATGTTATATATAATATGGTTACATACTTTTCTCTTTCTCTCTAATATGTTCTGTTCATATCTCTTTCTAATGTTCTATCCATCTCTCTCTCTCTCTAATATCTTCATATATATATATATATATATATATATATATTTCTAATATCTTCATATATATATTTTCACATATCTCTTTCTCTCTCTAATATGTTCACATATCTCTCTCTCTCTTTAATATGTTATATATAATATGATTACATACTTTTCTCTTTTTCTCTAACAGGTTCTGTTCATATCTCTCTCTAATGTTCTGTCCATCTCTCTCTCTCTTTCTCTTTCTCTAATATGTTCTGTTCATATCTCTCTCTCTAACAAGTTTCATTCATATATCACTTTTTAGCATGCTCTGTTCATCTCTCTCTCTCTCTCTCTCTCTAAAAATTCACCATTAAATAACCAAATATGTGGTTGACATTTAAAAAAGATCAATCAATTTAAACTTCTTTTTTTTTATCAACTGTTGTTACTTTATTAAATCTCTCTTGGATTATTCTTCGATCTATATTCCATTCTCCAGCCATTCATTCACACAAGCTCATCAGGTAACTTGCTACCTTCTCCTATCTCTCAATATGTCCTGTGAGGGTTAAGTTTTCCAAACCTTCTTTCCTCATTATGTGTCCAAGAAATATGAGCTATCTCTTTTTAAGTGTTTTCATTCTTGTTTTCTTTAAGAATTTCTTGTTGCTTACTTGCTCCTTCCATAAAATTCTCAGTATCCTTCTGTAGAACCACATTTCTGATGCCTCTAGTTGTTTTCTCATCTGTGGGGAGATTGTCCAGTATTTACTGCCATATAAGTAGATGGATATCACATAGCAATCCAGCATTCTTTTCTTTGTTTCTCATTACTTTGCTTAGCAGTTGGAATGTCTCTTTTGCTTGTCCAATGCCTGTTCAAATTTTTGTGCTGTGTTTTCCATCCACTGTTAAAACACTTCCCAGATATTTAAAGTTCTGTATGTGTTTGATATTGACATTTCAGATTTGTAACTCACATCTTTCTCTTTCTGACAACCATACTTTCTGTCTCCTTACAGTTGATAGCTAGTCCCTTTCTTTCTCTTTCTTTAACTACTCTGTTTAGGAGGTCTTAGTTTTCTTTCCGTGGCAGCCATCGACACAATGTCATCTATGTATCTTAATTATTATCTCAATTTTTATATGTCTATATCTCTATCTAGCTGTCTCTATCTATCTATTTATCTATCTCTATCTATCTGTATCTCTATCTACCTATCTATCTATACTTATCTGCCTGTTTATCTATATCTGTCTATCTATATCTATCTGTCTATATCTGTCTGTATCTATCTCTCTGTCTGTCTGTATCTATCTCTCTGTCTGTCTGTATATATCTATCTATATCTCTCTGTATCTTATCTATATCTCTCTATATCTATCAATATATATCTGTCTGTATCTATCTCTCTATCTATATCTCTCTGTATCTCTCTCTATATATCTATCTGTATCTATCTCTCTATCTATATCTCTCTGTATCTCTCTCTATATATCTATCTGTATCTATCTCTCTATCTATATCTCTCTGTATCTATCTCTCTATCTATATCTGTATCTATCTCTCTATCTATATCTGTATCTATCTCTCTATCTATATCTGTATCTATCTCTCTATCTATATCTGTATCTATCTCTCTATCTATATCTCTCTGTATCTATCTCTCTATCTATATCTGTATCTATCTCTCTATCTATATCTGTATCTATCCCTCTATCTATATCTGTATCTATCTCTCTATCTATATCTCTCTGTATCTATCTCTCTATCTATATCTCTCTGTATCTATCTCTCTCTATCTATATCTCTCTGTATCTCTCTCTATATATATCTATCTGTATCTCTCTATCTATATCTCTCTGTATCTCTCTCTATCTCTCTATCTCTATCTATCTCTCTGTATCTCTCTCTATATATCTATCTATCTATCTCTATCTATATCTGTCTCTCCATTTCTCTGTCTCTTTCTATATCTGTCTCTCTATATATATATATATATATATATATATATATATATATATATATATATATATATATATATATCTGTCTATTTTGATATTTGTCTCATCTCATCTACATCTGTCTACTTCATCTCATTTCTATCGATATCACTACCTATACCATGTAGGAATTGTTATATTAAATTTATTACTCTGGTGATTTCCCGTTTTCAAATGGCTGTCTTGAAGTAAATGTTTCCTACTCCCTTCTCCAGAAGAAGTTCGACCGTTTTGAAATGACTGTGATGTACATCCATTTAGACTTTTTTTTTTCAGTTTTAATATGTAAAACGACACTTTAACCTGAACCTGGTGTCCAGATGATTATTTTTTTAAATGATCTGGAACACATCGCTTCGTCGATGCCGAAAACTGAGGGAGAGGGACAGAAGCTGGAAAGATAAAGAAGAGTTACAAGACAAGAGTAAGATATGAGTGAAGAAAGTTAATTCGAGATAGGTATGGAAAAAGAAAAATGAGAAGGAGAGAGTGTAAGTGTTGGGGGGAGAGACAAAGAAGAGGAAAAAGAGAGAGATAGAGGTCAAAGAAAAAGAAAGTAAAAGGGAGGGAAAGAAAGAAGGTGGAAGAGAGGGAAGTGAAAGGGAGAGAAGCGACAAAAAGTGTGGGAAGTGGAATCAAGGGAAACAGGAAAGGAGAAAGAGATCTAAGAAGGGAGAGGAGAGCTGGAGAAAAGAAGAGGGGGGATCTAAGGAAGGAGGAGAGCTGGAGAAAAGAAGAGGGGGGAATCTAAGGAAGAAGGGAGAGGAGAGCTGGAGAAAAGAAGAGGGTGAATCTAAGGAAGAAGGAGAGCTGGAGAAAAGAAGAGGGGGGGATCTAAGGAAGGAGGAGAGCTAGAGAAAAGAAGAGGGGGGAATCTAAGGAAGAAGGAGAGCTGGAGAAAAGAAGAGGGTGAATCTAAGGAAGAAGGAGAGCTGGAGAAAAGAAGAGGGGGGATCTAAGGAAGGAGGAGAGCTGGAGAAAAGAAGAGGGGGAATCTAAGGAAGAAGGGAGAGGAGAGCTGGAGAAAAGAAGAGGGGAATCTAAGGAAGAAGGAGAGCTGGAGAAAAGAAGAGGGGGATCTAAGGAAGGAGGGAGAGCTGGAGAAAAGAAGAGGGGGATCTAAGGAAGGAGGAGAGCTGGAGAAAAGAAGAGGGGGGATCTAAAGAAGAAGTGAGAGGAGAGCTGGAAAAAAGAAGAGGGGGATCTAAGGGAGAGGAGAGCTGGAGAAAGGAAGAGGGTGGATCTAAGGGAGGAGAGCTGGAGAAAGGAAGAGGGTGGATCTAAGAAAGAAGGGCGAGGAGAGCTGGAGAAAGGAAGAGGGTGGATCTAAGGAAGAAGGGCGAGGAGAGCTGGAGAAAAGAAGAGGGGGGATCAAAGGAGAAGATAGAGATAGGGACACGAATAGTATCAAAAAAAAAGAGAGATTAGGAGATGTATAGAAAAGAATAGTCAAAGGTGAGTATCACAAGGAAGAAAAAGATGGCACACACTATCAAATGACATTTCTCTTCTGTTAAAGTCATTCCGTACTTTCCTTGGCTCACCAATTCCGTTCCAGTCCACCCAACACTTTCTCTTGTTTCTCATTCTCCCAATTCATATGGTTTCTTGTGCTGTAAGTCAAAAACCGGGAGGTGTAAGTAAACATATTTTAACGTACAGGTGAAAAAAAAAACTTTAGAGAATTCTCCAACATTTCGTGATATTTGTATCCAACTCCACGTGTTTTAAATATATTCACAGGAACAATCAAGAAAGAAAGAAAGAAGAAACATTAGCATCAATAAGGACTTCCTTTTTCTAACATAATATTTCAAAGATTAAATCGTTCAACTATAAGCATAGGGCAAACAGTTCAATGCCTCAAATGAGAGAATTTGCAACTGTTTATTATTCCTTTTAGAAAAAGGAAGATTTATTTTTAATCATTTCACCCCAAGGAAGGTGATAAAGCCATGAAGAATCAAGGGGTTACTGAGAGTGAAATTAACTGAGAAAACGTTATTCAGGATAAAGGAAATAACAGGATTTAAAAAAAAACACACACAAGACAGTGATTGACATTGCATTTAATTTTTTTAAAGATTGTGGTTGACAGGAAGGCAAGAAACTGGAAGAGAGTTCCACAAGCGAGAAGTGCGAGAGATGAAACTAATGAAACAAAAGACAAGGGGTTGTGATGTTTGTTTTGAAAAACAGATTTTGGGAATAATATAGTTCAAAAGCTTTTTTCGCGGATCATTTCACCAGCTTTAAGGAGTTCAATCTATGCTAAGAGCCCAATTATTGTAACCCTGCTCTAGGATGCCGTAATCTAGGGCGTCTACCATCGAGTAAATATTAGCAAACTAATCTTGTAGACCAATTCGTTAGTGGTTTCTCTTCTTTTTTTTTTTATAACTATTGTTATAAAAAATTTTTTACATACGTTCTAATTTTAAAAAAATAAATTATTATAATTTTCTTTTTTGCATTAACTAGTTTTATCCATCTCGTCAGAAAATGGCAGCCATATTGGAGTAATTTTGAAATCGGATATATTTTTTGTATAAAGATTTTAAGAGTTTTGGCTATACATTTAAATATGGCTACTGTCACATTTAGGAAATAATTCTGATTTTTAAAATCATTTCAAGTTGTCGAGAAAATGCTCCCGATCCCATCAAACGAACAGCGACTGGTCAAGTCGAGAAAAAACAAAGCAATACTTACCTTAAGTTGCGGAATAGATTGCCGTTTTCCGCGACGTATACCAGCCTGATAATTTGGTAAGATGGAAGTTAATTCTTTATAAAAAGAGAGATAGATTTTCCTCTCCTTTTATAACACTTCAGGTAACCCTGTCACGTGACCATTGTCAGTCGACCCAGTACTTTCTGAGCGACTGTTCGGTTAAACTCTCTTCTTACGGACGGGAGGAACCCGAAGGAGGCTACGCCGAAGGGCGGAGTCTCCTTCGGGAGGTAGACTCGACCCTGAACCCGTTTATACGGGTTCAATGGGGCATTTTTTTGGCCGAGCCCACGGGCTCGGAATGCCCACGTTAAAAAAGCCTTGTGCCACATGACACCCTCGTGGGGGGGGTGACTGAATATCGTCACGTGACCACTGTAACTATAAAAGGTTAGTAAAGATCATAAGTTTTTGGGGTTTTTTTTCGTAAGGTTTTCAACAACACAAGGTCAGTACACTGCTCCATTCTCGTTTGATCAACAGTCAATTTTCTCCAAGTTCCAATTTCGGTTGGGTTCGTTATGTGCAAATACCCTTGGGAAAGGTATGAATTCGCCTCTTTTAACCCCGCATCAGCTATGGTTTAATTAGTATAACTTGCATCACTAAATCATTATCTAAATAACCAACAAAAGGTTGATAAACCGTAAAAAATGAGTGAATCCTGTAAAGGGCCATGGTCGCCTAAATTCTGAAGGGGAATGGCATAAACAAAAATTAAATGAGTTATATGCGGGTAGCGTAGCGGTTATCGACACGTAAAGATAAATCGAAAAAATAAAAAGGTGATAGAATTTTTACACATACCTAATATTGAAGTAACCTTACTAAGAGTTAAAAAGGACAAGAAGTTGTGGAGAGCCATGGTCGCTTATCTCCTGAAGGGGAAAACACATATAATAATTGTTATATACCGTACGTATGAACACTACTGGGTATGTCCCAATCATCATAAATACGTTGGACACTATTGTAAGTGGGGGTAATATGCAAAGTAGTCCACCATTAGCAGTGGTTTACCTACTTCACGCCGCTGGCGAGTATTGTTTTTGTTGATGTTATAAAGATTACCATTTCATTTCCAACCTCCGTTTTGGTTATTCCTAATTCAGTAATATTTTCTAGGACACAACAATAATAACATTGAATCTTTTTCATTATCCAAAGTCAGTTTTCCCTTTCGTCTTGGTATTGTCACTTGGTAAAGACCTCTTGGCACCAAATTCCCGACTTTCGATTGACCTTTAGCTTTCAGTGCAACCTGGATATTAAAAATCAAACCAATAAATAAATAAAAAAAACTGACTGGGATGGAATAACCATTTAAATGAAATTCATTCTAAATTCTTGTTAATGAACATCACAGCTTATAAACAATTGGTCCGTTTTGTTAAGTAAATCTTTGGCGAGATTAGGATTTAGAAGTTAAAGTTCTAATTGCGAAGACAACTGATTATTAGTACAGAAGACAATGAAATTGTTTTCATTTTGGATGAGGGAGATTGTCATTTTTGTGCTAATACCTTCATCTACTTTTCTCGAGTTTCAACCCGATTGCTAAATATCTGAAAATCTCCCGTCACTGGCATGCCACAATGGATGATGTTTACAAAAAAGAGCTTTTCAATAAAAAGGAGGAAGTTCCGTATTTTATTTTATTTTTTTTTAAAAAAAAGGGCTTATCTATTATTAAAAGAAAGGATCCGCGCGTTTCTCTTTAAATAGGATGTTTCTGTGCAATTCTCACTTAAAAAAAAAGGTGTTCCTTGCGTTTCTCCGTTAACAAAAGGGGTGAAGGCATACAAAAGACGATAGGCGGTTGAAATAAACTCACGAAGGTCACGTGACGGCGGGCGAGTGAGGTCAGTGGATAGTGATGAAGAACAGTTGCGATGCAAAGCCCGGAGGAGGAGGATATCCCAAGCACATCGCTGTAGGTTTACAGGGAAAACCACATGGCATCACCAGTTCTTCCTTTGAAAAATATTACAAGTAAGACACTCTCTTTTCAAACTGCTTGCTGTTGTACACATTTGATATAGTTTCTCTGTGTGTGACGCATGTAAATATGCGTCTATAACTGCGTGTATGACTTAGCGGTATGAAACTCTGCCTGAGAACAAAGCATGTTTGTCATTCCTTTTCTTCCAGCTACTCCGTTCCCTCCATGTTAAGGTGTTCTTATATCAAAGAAATAGTTATGTCCATAATGAGGGGAAATGAAAACTGGGAGAATATTGCTTTCTTTCATAGCTCCCCCATTATCTAGTGGGCACAACGTGATATATTATTTAACCTCCATTAGGGAGAATTTTCATGTGTTTTTCTCTTTAAAAAGGGGTGGATCTGTTTATCTATTAAAAAATAGCGGGGGGTGCAATTTTCCATTTCTTTTTAAATAAGTGGTTTCCGTGCGTTTCTCTATTCAAAGAATAGTGGTTTCCCTACACCGCTCTATTAAAAAAAAGCTGGGGTTTCCGTGCGTTTCTCTATTCAAAGAAT